GACACAGAAGCCCTCTTCCACAGTACCTGGGTTTTAGCCTCAAACAATCTCATTAATTACTTCAGCCTTCCATTTTGCTTTTTCCATGATGGGTTCCATTTAAATCTCTGTGCCTGGCTTTCAAACAGCAGGGAAAGGCATTCCATTTTCCCAAAGGGATCCTGTGACTTTTTCTTTTTTTTTAAATATAGTATCTAACCTTGAGGTGCATGTAAACAGGTGTTTACTAAATTATTTTAATACTGACAGTCATGGCTTGGAGTGTTGTCTCATTATCAGAATGTTTAGCACTCCTGTCAATAAATATTTAGCAGCTGGTATTTTGCAAAACGCTTCCCGTGCCTCTTTGCGTCGGTCTTCTTGCTCTCCTCCACAGTGCCCGTCGTTAACTCAGGCCATGGCGAGGATGGACTGCAGAAACAGACTAACTCAGTGTGATTATTTTGCTCATTCGTCTCATTAAGTCTCCAGGTGTTTCCCAAACAATCTATCAGCTGTCTTTAGACCCCATTAGAAAATAAAATTGTGCCCTGATTTTGAACGCTGAGCACTGACTTCAAAGTCCCTGAAGGACCAGTTGGGAGGGTGCTGACCTGTATGGCCAACAGCTGCAACCCCAGCAGGCAGAACTGCTGTAAAAGGAAGAAAGTGCTGTCAGCCACTCCCTCACCCTCGCCCTCTTAACACGGTGGCAAGGGTTTCTCAGACCTCACAGAACTTGCCACAACAACGAAGAAAGCCAAGTGAAGAAAGGGATAGAGAAGAAAGCACCAGGCGTTGGAAAACGTCACCGAAATGAGAACAAATCTCAGTTACTTCCTAAGCTAGGTCTCCAGAGCGTTTCCGCCATCACCCCAGCAGGAGACTAGCCAGACTCATAAACTGAAATCAGCTGTGAAGTATACCCAGTTGTTTTTGTTTTTTTCCTTAATAAAGTTAGGAAAGTGTTTTCTTGTCTTTGAGCTGACGAGTTTTGTAACCCTATAGAATAGGGTTTCCAAATCTCAAAATTTAGGTCGCCTCATGCCCCACTGGCCCCTCTGGTTAAACCATCCATGGTACATTAGGGAGAAAATTAATACACAGCCACAATAAGTTCAGCTAATCACCCGAAAGGCTCCCTCAAGGCTCCATAGCATGTTGTCTATGCCAGAGGTAAACAGAAGTCTGAGGCAGAGTGGGAGAAATCCAAAGTGGGTTTTCCTTGCCAGAGCGTGGCAAAGTCACCAAGGGACTCAGTCGTACTGAGGTGTGTTGTGTGTGTGGCGGGGGGGAGGGGGAGCAGGGGGACACACTCTGCTCTTTGGAGTTCTCTGCACCAGGGGAAGGTGTGGGTGTGATGAAAAAGGCACAGCAGATAGAAAATTCTCTCCAAACCCTCCGGACATCTTTCCCCTCACCAAACCCAACAGGAATGGCCCTGTCCTGACTCCTAAGCCCTGGAGCACCACCTACTGGGAGAGGCAGAAACTACAGCCCCTTCAGGTCTTGCTGGGTCTGCACTCATTGGTTCATGCAAGCAAGCATTTACTCAGTCATGTGCTGAGGGCCTAGAATGCAGGGCAGTCCATGCAAGTGGGGGTGGAAAGATAGGCAGGGTCTCAAAAGCCCCATTCAGTATACTCCTTGGACTCCTTCAGTCTAGGTCTTATACACAAAAGAACCCACCTTGGGCAGTTCTATGTCAAAGAGACAACTGAAGGAAGAGTCCTAAGTCAACACTAAGACTGAGAGATGGCTCCAGGGTCTACCAGCTCAGCACTTCACTTGCAGAGTACTTACTATACCTGCACAGGAGCATCTACCTGCAGAGAACAATTCTCCACTTCATATGAGGTAGAAATGTCCAAACAGTCTTCGGAGACGGCATTACCAATATTCCTTTCTGCAACACAGAGTCTCCAAAGTGCATTAGGCTCTTGTGTAATCTATTTAAAATAGCTTTCCCCTATTCTCACTCTGTGAGCGTGCGCGCATGTGTGTGTATGTACATAAGCACACACTTAAACACTGTTAGCATGTGCTCTATGGAAATAATGAATAATTGATTCTTGTAATATAGTCTATTATGTAGTATTCTGCTATGCTGCAAAGTATTTGTGCAATACTAGGCACAATATTTTGAACCTCAATAGCCCTTTTCCTCCAGTTCCCTCCTTGCAGTATCCAGAGAAAGAGAAGCTAATGTCATGTTTTCTTTAACTTGAACAAGCTGAGGTGCAAGCAACATTGTCCTTTCACCATTTGTAAAGAGAGTTAACTGTGATCATTATTATTCCTTTATTGTGATTGCTATTCTGCCGTATCGCCAAGTAGTTAGAAAGAAAGCACAGTGTGTCTTCCACTCCCAGAACATGTCTCTCCCCTATGCTTTGTCTCCAGCAGATAAGGGACATACTGATGTTTTATTTGTTAAATGGCTGACTATTAAGAAACTCATTTGCTAGCTGGAGACCGAAATGAAAAATCAGCCCAGAAAAGTGGGAGGCTAGGGTGGGACCAGAGAAGACAGGACACTAGAGGCGAGGTGAGGCCTACAGGAGCATTTCCAGCCTGAAACTTCCAGGCTGTTCCCATGAGCTGACGACCACCTCCATACCTGGACACTCCGCACACAGGCGCGCGCACACACACACACACACACACACACACACAGTGGGGAGGAAGGGCTAATCCAGTCCGTGCCTGGGAGCCTGTCAGGCAAAGCCTCACCACTGGCAACTTTTTCTGTCCTCTACTTTGGTTCCTCACCATCGCTGCTCTGAGGTAATCATTTGGCTTCCTCTCTCTCTCCTGAAACTCTAACCCCCAATTATGTTTCATTGCCCCTTTGGTTATTAAGTCACAGCAACCCCTTCCTTGTAAATATTCATGCTCTTCCAGGCCAGCCTCTCCCCCACCTTAGCACCCTCCTCTGCCCCCCCCCCAACACCTGGGCAATGCCAACGAGGCAGGAAGAGGAGGTGGGAAACGCAGGGAGCCAGGGATCCTGCTGCTCTTTCACCTGAGAGCCGCATCCAGGAATGGAGGCAAAACCGCTCCTGTGAATTATATAATCACTGCAGCTTCTAGAGAGAGAACTGGAATTCAGGTTGCCATAGTGTTCGTTGGCATGTTGCTGGAAAGGCAGAGCTCCCGGCCCTGCTCGCTCCCTCCCTTTCCCTCCATCTTCGCACAAACCTCTCCAGGATCAGCTCCTACTTTTAATGTCTGCTCCCTGCATTTGTGTGTGGGGAGGGGGCTGCTGGGGTACAAAGGGGCAAAAGAAAGAGAGAAGAAGGGCTAGAAAGAGGTTTCTCCTGCACTAAAAGGAGAGCTTGTGAACTACTGAAGGTTATCATTATGTGACTAATAATCATTACCACAGTATATTACCATTGTTAGTAGAGTAAGGACAATACTATTGAGCCCTCCTGTTCAAGGCTGCTTAACTGAGCTGAGAACTTGGAGGGGAATCCAGCCCTGCTCTTCACAAATATCACCCTTTCCTTTGTGTCTTTCATTCCCTCCCTCCTAATCCATCCACTATTTCATCAGCTCAGAAGGGGACAGGGGAACAGGTGGGGGCTGGGGCATGGGGTAGAGAAATTGAGAGACAGAGCTGTCTTTGTGACCCAAAACCCCTAGAATCCATGATCCTTGACAAAATTTTTTTCTATTAAAAGGAGCCAAAATCCCCACACTGCCACCCAAGCTTGAAAGCGGAGGGACAATTGGCCCACAAATCATTTTCAGGATGAATGATAAATGCAGATCAGGCAGGTAGGGTGCCTGGCAGCCTCTACCTCAAAAGGGTAGGGGCACTGTCCCCAAATGGTGGAAATGGGGGCAAAAGAAGGAAGGAGGCTGGAAAACAGAAACATGGAGACAGATCCTCCCTCAGAGGATCACCTGAAGTCCCCCCAGTAAGTAACAGGACCAATAGCGACAGGTATTCGGGAAGAAGAGGTTGAAAGGAAGCGTGTAATCAGGGAGGCTTGGGAAACCGGGAGAGAAAAGGGAGCGACTACACCCAGAGACAGAGAAAGCTACGGGGAACAGGCAGAGATGGAGCTGGAGGCTGCCACTCTCCAGCAAGACCACCTCCCTACACTCCGTCATGACCTTAATTGCTGACTTACGCCAAAAAATAATAACTTGTTAATAAGGGGGGCGGGAGAGAAAGTTTCCAGGAAGTGGGGAGTTACCTGAAAACCTTTCCCCCCTCACATGGGGAACCGGTGACACTTGATGCCCAGGATGGAGATGCTTGGAGAGCACTGGGCAATAGTGTGGAGCCGCGTGTGCTCGGCACACCCTTGAATTATTTCCTTAAAACATGAAAAAGCAAAGCCCACACACCTTCCAACTCTTACCGCCTACATTTTCAGGTGCTAGCCCTACATGTGGGTGCGAATAAGAACGGGGCGTAAGCCCTCTCTGGGTCAACGGCATTGGAGAGGTGGATGGTGTAGGTGAGCGGTGGGAGAGAGGAGCGAGGCGCCGAGACTCGCATCTGCACCCGCGTACCCCCACCATGTGCGCTGCCCAGGGCAGCGGCCCCCTAGAAGCAGATGGGACGCCGGGCGGCGGCCCGGGCGCGGGGCCGGTCTGGTGCGGGGTGCGCGCGCGCGCTCCCAGCCGCGCCCGGAGCGAGGCGAGGGACCCCGGCCGGCGGGGTTCGAGGACGGCGGTGCCCCCTTCCCCACGCGCGGCGGACCGGGTATTCGGGCTCTCCAGGCAAACGTGGAAAAGCTAGGCAGAAGCAGACACTTGGGCAACTTTTCCCCCTCGCCTGGAATTTCATAGGAAACACATGCGCCGAAGAAGCCGGCACGGGAGGGGGAGGGGCGGGAATTTTCCGCTCGGTCTCGCGGGGTTCGGGCCCCGGTCCCGCGGGTCTGGCGAGGCGGAGGCGCCCCGGGCAACTCCGCAGGGACCGGCCCCGGGCGAGCCGGAGTGGGGCGGGGAGGTCTGGAGCCCGCCCTGGGGCCTTGGCCGGGCGGCGGGGCCAGCCTTACCTTGGTGGTTTTCCTCTGGGATGTACATCCTCGTGTTTTCATTGACCATTGACCAAAAATTGTTTTAAAAAGAGAAGAAGCCACAAAGAGGATTAAATGTCAAAACACCCCCAACGGGTCTGGATTAATCCCTCCTCCGAGGCCGGCGGCTTTCGTGCAAAATTCAAGGAAGCCGTGGAGCTGCGGTATTTCTTCTTCCCTTCTGATGATTACCTGATTCCCATTATTGCATCAAACACCAAAAACTGCTCCTTTCCACTACTGCCTCCTTGAGTGAAATTGTAATGCATCCTCAGTACATCCGGGCCCCTTCCAAGAATTTAGCCCCGCACCTCTGGCGGCTACACCGTTTGAAAAAATCAACCCAGGGAGGCAGCGCGAGAAGAGGCGGAGAGGAGGGGAGAGGGCAGCGATGGACCCCAGACCGGGAGGGCCAGCCGGGGCCGAAGCGTCTCCGCCGCCACTGGCCAGTCCTCCCGAGGCCCGGGCTCGGCTCTGTTCTGTCAAGAAGCTCCAGCAACTCCGGAGGCGCGGAGGCAGGAAGAGGCGCCGCCGCTCCGGGCCGCGTCGCGCCGAGCGCCGTTCTGGCAGGAGCTGTTTCTGCAGAGGCAGAAAGAGGGAGACACCGGGCGCGCGAGAGCGCCGCGCTCACCGCCTCCAGCCCAGCCCGCCGCCGCGCCCGCGCCCGCGCCCTCCCCGCCCGCCCGGCGCGCTGGAGGCAGACGCGCTGAACGCTTCCAGATGTGGCGCGGCGGCGGCGGCGGCGCGCGGGGACCGGGCGCACGACGCAGGGCGCACAGCGCGGACCGAACCCCTGGTGAGCACAGGCTCGGCCCTCGGCCGCGCCGCCGACCCGCTGCTGCCCACATGACGTCAAAGGGCGCAGGCGAGGTGCGGGCCTCGAGAGGGCGGCGGCGGGGGGCTGCGCGCGGCGCCCCCCGGGGGGCGGGGCGTGGGCGGACGTGGGGCGCGGGCGCCGCACCGACTCCCGCCGCGCGCCCCGCTGCCTCCAGCCACCCGCCCCTGTTATCTAGGCAGCACCGCGTCCCTGAGCGGCCGTCCACGACGGGAAGGCCTCTGCCAGCGGATTTCCAACAGGGGGGACTACAGTCTGTCCAACTACCCTGGTCTCTTTGCTTATCGGGCCACTGAACAAAACTGCAGAAGGAGCCGTGAATCCGTGAATCTGCCTGATCAATTGCAATCAGAGCCGATGTAGATGTGACATATACAGGAGGATGGCAAGAGGGGAGGGGAGGGAGAGAAGGGGTCGGAGGGTGGAGCCACCTAGACTAGGCAGTGGTGCCCAGATGTGTGAACGGATTAATGAACCCAGGTTTTCTAATTACATGGAGGCAAGGGAGCACATGTTCTACTTGGGTATCCTTACGTACTCAATTATTTTTGCCACTCTGGCAGGAGCCCTCTCCTTCCCAAAGAAGTGAACATTTCTCTCCATCTCTCACTGCAGCCACAGCAAGTTCCATGGCACCCCCTGCAGGCCCAGGCTCCTCTGGACTGGACTTCCTAAGCCCTGGCAGGGGAGCCTACAACTCCCTCTAGGGAACACTTCCATCTTTCTGCCCTCAGACTTCCCCACACGCATTCCCTGGATGATCCTCTCCGTCTCCATGAATTTAAGCAGCTGTCTATATCGAATTTGTATCTTCAGCCCAGACCTCTCTTCCTGAATGTCAGGCTACACATTCAGCCTCAGTCTCCACTTGGTTGTCCAATACACAGTTCAACCTAACTGATCCAAACACTGAGTCCCTTTTCCTGTACAAAACCTGCACCTCACACAACCTTCCCCATCGCATTTGATGGAGCTCAAAAGCCTGATATTCTCGACTCCTTCCTCTCATCCTTCCACATCTAATCCTTCAGGAAATCCTCTTGGTTTCACCTTCAGATAAATCCACTTCTCAGTGTCTCCCCTGCTGCCCAGGTCTGAGCCAACATTGTCCTTCATCTGGGTTGGTGCAGAAACTGCTCTGCCTGGTCTCTCCTCCCCACCCCTCCTGTGGTTTCTTCTCAATACAACAGAGTAATTCATTTAAAAAGTCACATCACAGCACTCCTCGGCTTCCAGCCCTCCAGTGGCTCCCCATTTCACTTAGGGAAAGCCAGGGTCCTTAGAGCAGCCTGCAAGGGCCCACATGAACAGCCCTGTACGACTCCTCTTGTCTTTTCCTCTCCTACTGCCTCCCCACGTGTGTCAGTCACACAGGCCTCCTTGCTGTTCCCCAGACACTCTGGGAACGATTCATTCTCTCTCTCCCCCCATCCCCGCCTCTGTCTGTCTGGCTATCATCTATCTATCTATCTATCTATCTATCTATCTTTGTCTCTCTCATCTTAAGGCCTTTGCTCTAGCTGCCCCCACTGCCCAGAACACCTGGTGACCTCCCTTACTTTCTTCAAGCCTGCTCCAGTCTCACTTCCTCAATGGGCCTCACTCTGACCACCCTATTTAGCACTGCATCCTGCCCACCCACCCCCCCGCACTTCCAATCTCACCCTTTCTCTAATTTTCATGTGATATTTAATTCCTGTCTAACACACAATGTAATCTACTCATTTATTAATTGTACTCTTTATTGTCTGTATTCCCCACCAAAATGCAAACCCCATGAGGGCAGGGATCTTTGGCCATTTTGTTCACTAGTGTATCCCAAGGGCATAGAGCAAAGTCTGGCAGATAGTATGTACTAAATAGATATGTATTGAATTATGAATGAATAAATGAATGGATGAGATGGTTTCAGGAGTGCTACAATTCACTGCATCAAAATGCCTCTCTCTGTCCCCTGCTCGATATCTGACACCTCAGCACTCCAGCTTCATTCCCTTTGGCCAAGGGTTTTGGCCACAGTTTAAAATGCAAATCTCCCTGTGAGAGGCATTAAGCTTATCAGTCATCTTCATTCTGCTATGAACAGCAGTCTAGATTTTGTTGGTTACACGAGAAATCTGGCCTCTTTACCATCCTGGTGTGTTCATACTCAATTTTCAATCTAGTAGAAAAAATTAGAATGACACAAATCCAAATATTTTCTCCATTTAGCTTTAGGACGCATGTACATGACTCTTTTTCCAATTAACATTAAAATTGGTGTGCATCACCTTTATACACTGCAGAACAGGAATAATAATAATAGCTCTGTGCTGTGACAGGTGCTTTACGGGCATCACTCATTTACTCCTCATTGCAATCCTATAAGGTAGGTGATGTTATTATTAACCCCATTTTACATATGTATTGGAAACTGAGACTTAAAGGCTTAAGTTACATGTCCAGGATCAACCCAGCTGGTAAAGTGTGGAACCTGGACTTTGTCCAGGAGTGTCTGCCTCCAAACTTGCATTTACACCATGGTCCCGCTCTCGGAGGGAGTGACTGAGGGTGAGCTGGGTTGAGGGCAGGGAATGAACAGTTTAAAATGGCAGTAAAACAACTGCAAAATGTAGCGAATTCACAAAGAGCCAGACAGCTGAGGACAGAGTGAATGTGTGTTGGTGGGTTGATGGGGAAGGGGGAGGGAGGGCATGTGCTGGATTTATAGCCAGGCTTTTTATAAAGGTAGGCAGTGCATAAATCTAGCAAGTAAATATTACCTTCATGCTTCTTTAGTTTCATTTTTCACTTCTCTTTTCAGCTGTGAAATGTGTTCTTTCCTTTCCAGAAAAAGGTATTTCCTAAATATTTGGTCTTGCAATGTAAGCCCATATCTCGGCTTCTAACTTTGGAACACAGCCCTTGGTGCTGTCTTTCAAGGTAAGAAATTCTCAACGTGACAAATGGAAACCATTCTGAATTCTGAATTGGGGGTTTGGGAAGTGGTGGGACTGCGGGAGTCTTTCTTTCTCTTTTATTGCGTGATACAATTCTCCAGCCGAAGGCACTTGCTCTTCTCTCCTCTCCTCTCTCTATTTGTGTCACTACATCAGTGGTTCTCAACCTGGGGGTCGTGACCCCTTTGGAGGTCGAATGACCCTTTCACAGGGGTTGCCTAAGACATAACAGTAGCAAAATTACAGTTATGAAGTAGCAACGAAAATAATTTTATGGTTGGAGGTCACCACAACATGAGGAACTGTGTTAGGGTCCTGGCATGAGGAAGGTTGAGAACCACTGCTCTACATAGTGTTACATTTCTGTGTAACATTGTATTTATATACGAATGTGCCTTTTCTCTGCCCCCACTGCATTTTAAATGTCTTACGGAAGAGAACTGTTCATTTTTCTTTGTGCATAGCATAATGTTCTGTACACACAGGCACTCGATGTATGTTGAGCACATGATTCACTCTGGAAAAGATTCCTTAATGTGACCACAAATATTTCCTTTGGAAGCAATTAAGAGCACACTGAATTTGTGAATTATAGTGTGTTCGTAAGAGCGAATAGCTTGGAAACAATCTAAATATCCAACAGTAAATGTTGGCTAAATAATAACATCGAGAGATTATCTGCATATAAAAAGTCGTTTGCTCCTTTTGTTCCAAAGAATGAAGTACTAGTCTCCTCGTTTTATAGGAAATTAAAGCACAGAAGGGTCAACTCACTCAAGTTTTCACAGCTAGTAAAGGTAAGGAGACCTGGGATTTGAAGTCCAACAGTCTGTCTTCAGTGCTGTTAATCACTTCATAGATAAACTAGGGCACATTCATACAATGAGATTCTTACACAGATGTGAACAATGTTAGGGAATAATATTAGTGACATGAAAAATAAAAAGACTATTTACACTAAAAGAAAAACAGGTTCTTTTATACAAAATATTACATAAAATATGTATGATATGATTCCATTTTTCTTTTAAAGACAAGTGTATATTTGAACAAGGATATAGACTACCGAGTTCACACCAAAATGTTGACAATAGCTTTCTTTGGGACGTGGGTTTGCAGGTAAATATTTCTTCTTTTTTCCTGTCTGGCCCAAGGCTTTGGAAGCCAGATTGCCAGGTATGGTCTTCTCTTCCCTAGGGTCCCACACTTTCAGGCAAGAGCCCTCCTCCCTCCCCCCATAACAGCACCTCTAAT